CAAAAGATAGTGTGTATGACTTACATCAATATATGTATGCTCTTCAGTTATCATGCGTTTTCCCGCAAATCTTCAAATTATGTGAGCTAGTATTAACAATACCAGCGACAAGTGCTGCAGATGAACGCTCATTTTCAGCTCTGAAGAGATTAAAAAACTACTTAAGAAATTCGCAGAACCAGGATAGGTTGTCATCACTGGCTTTGATGAACATTGAAAAGTCCTTCCTAAACAAACTGCAGTCCAAACCCAGCTTTCTAGATGAGGTTATTGATCTGTTTGCCAAGAAAAACAGAAGAATCGAGCTGAATTATAAACAATAAAGTAAGCATTAATTATATTCCAGGTTCACAACCCTGTCATTTGATGGCTATAAAATTGTGTTGATAATTATGTGTTATTTTAATATATTAGCTTAAATATACAATACATATTAAACTATTAGCTGTTTTCTTTTAAATAGAAGATAGAAACTATAGGGTATGTAGAAAAAATTTATATACACGTATATAAAGTTGCTTCCCTGCTTTTGGTAGTCATGCTACGCCACTGATTGATACCTATCCCTGTGTGTTGGTGCAGGATGTGAAGAACAAGTGCTGGGATTATGGGACATTGTATCTTATACATGAAATAGACCGTGACTGTAAAAGTCTAACGTTCTATTTGGCATAGAATGTTCCATGTTTCTGTTTCTTTCATATGAATAAGCAAACAACTGCTGTGCTTAGAAAAATTGCCGCAGGCCAGATTACACAAGTTGATATCATCCACAGATGGTTTCTGTAGCATATTTCTGGTCGTGAGAATTACATTATCATTAAAATAGAATTGTGCAAATGAGATCAGTGGATCAAGTGGAAAGAAATGAAGTCAATTCATGTTAGACAAGAGAGTCATCATTCTGAAAGAGGACGAAATGCTCAAGACACAAACTGTTCCTGCAGGCATAAAAGGTCATGCTGAAAAAAATGTTTTATGTTCAGTTGTTTTACTGAACAAGTTTGCGGTTTTCGTAGTGGTACACATGAAGATTAGTGTCTTCTGGGATGCGATGCCATGTAATTTCTTCGGAACATGCTGCCCCCATCTTACACGTAGAAGAGTAAACCAACCATGGAAAAAATTGGAAGATCAGGACAGTGACTGTAGTGAACCAACAGGAGTAAGAACAGTGTTACCATACCAATTTTAGAGGGCAGAGTCATTGGGAGAAATAATGACAGAATGACCAGTAGGAGGTACGAATAGAGTAGCCTTCCCATATCACATTCAGTTTCAAGCGCAAATGGGTCCTCTGAAGAGATGTGTGGTAGTATGTTGCTGTCTTATTGGAAGGATGCAGTCCACTAGGCAGCATCTCATTGTACATAAAATAAGACCACAAATGAAGAAATGAACCTTTCTGTGATAATCTTCTTCTTTTTCTTTTTCTACACAGTCCTTTTAATTTTAACCTTTGCCTCCCTTTTGGATTTCTGAACAAGTAATATTTTATTGGGGAGAGGTTGTTATAATTTTTACTCAACCCCCTTAACTTAGGAGGGTCAAAGTTTTTCTGTCAAGGTGTACTTCCTTAGGGGGATTGACTTCACCATGCCTAAGGATTTCCTCCCCTACTCTCGGTTTTTCTGTAGGGGTTTTCCTTCTCTTAAGCAGAAAGTCCTGTTTGAAGTCACTGGATGCCGGCCTTTCACCCCACTCTGTCTGCCACATCTGTGCTTTCACCCCAGAATGTGTTGCCTAGGGGTCACCACGAGGTGGGGGAGCTAGGATTTGCCAGCAGAACCATACTTAACAGATGGTGTTCTGGTACTTAATGGTGTGTACCTACTGGCATCAGTGCACCCCACCAGAATCATTTACCAGCCTTTAACCCCCAGTATTTAATATAGCATACTATATTTTACACATCTTGTATTTTATGTGACGGAAAGTAGGATGGTGCAGAGACATTACAGTAGTGTGGGTAGGTACATGTCCAATTGTAGAAAAATCTCTGGTGAGTAGTACTTTTGACTGGTTGAGCATGTTGATAACAATGAGTGTAATAGACTCATTACTGTGCAATATATATCAAATATCTGCACAGGAGTCCCTCACTGTTTGCTATTGCTTGCTTCCATCAGGTGAATGACCTGTTGTACTTCTTCCCAACAAGTGAGAATGGGGAGCTGAGGTTTGTGTGGGCAACAGAGGAAACTGGTTTCCGACATCTCTACTTGATCACGGCACAGATGTCTGGTTTCAGCAATGGAGTGGAGGAAACACTGGAGCGTATGGAAAGTGAGGAATTGTACTCTTCCCTACTCAGCTCCACTCTTCAATTTGTGCGCAGTAAAATCATGTTTCATATCCATTTAATTACTAGCTCATTTTCACAGCCTTTAGCATGCAGTTTTCTGTGTCATTGTCACTGGGAAAATGATGATACTCATTTCTTTGTGACTTATAATCATTTAAAAAGTTATATTAATGGTCATAGTAAATATGACATGTCATATATAGCTTGTGTATCCGTAATTATGAAGCGTCGTACAAGATTCCTTACCTCTTAATACCCATGTCATACCAGACAGCAAGACTTATTTGGATAACCTATGTATGTGAAATGAATTGTGAGGGGTTTTTTTTTTATATACTGTGTATCAAAATTCTAGTTCTAGTATACATCATATTCTCAAAATTATATTTTTGGTAGAGGAGAAAATGTCAGTCTATGCGTAGAAAAGTCTGGCCAGGACTGAACTCAGAACCTTGTGGATGAATGTCAAATGCCTTACCACTCTCAGGTCCCCTAGTTCATGAAGTACAGACAGATGGAATGGCATATCTCTTTCTCAAATGTCAGCATGAAGTTAACTGCAGTATCTGTTAATATAAATGTTTCTTTCAAATGCACTAGTAAAGTTGTAGTTTCAAGTTTCTTTTCATTCTGTGGTTTCTTAAGATCTCAGTCGCGTGGTTCTGAAAACGTTTCTTTTGACATTTTCAAAGCTTTCACTCCATGTGTTGCCACGGTTTGGTACTGTTCGCTGACACTCCCACACTCTCAGCCAGTACAGCTGCCTAGGCACTAATGCATTCTGCCTGGAATAATGCTCAAACTTATTGTCTGTTCAGTGTATCCCTTATTTATTTTGTTGCATAAGTAATGTCTAGTGATTGATAAACCCTTAAGGTTGCTTTTATATTATTCCATATATTTATAAGGAATTTAAAATGTAAATACAGTCATGATTGTTTTTAGGTGAAGGTACCATACTGAATGTCTTTTATGCAAGATGGTGATCGTATCATTGGGTGCTGCCAGGGGAAGAGGCACTGCCCTGTGCATTTATGGGGGAAAAATCAAAAGTGAAATGAAAGTTTGAAATCTACGAAATATTAATACCAAACATTAAATAATTTTGTAATGTATTCTTATATTTTGAAAACCAGTAAATTAGTCTTAAATAGTTTAAACATAACTTTGTAATGATTGCTGGGTTTCATGGCAGGTGTGTTTCTGCAACCACGTGTTGGCCAGAAAGTGGCACTAACTTCTGGTGAATGGGAAGTTCTGGGTCGTTCTCTTTGGGTTGACCCTGATCATCAGCTGGTATACTTCCTGGGGTTAAGAGAATCTCCATTGGAGAAACATTTGTATGTGGTGTCCCTGAGGAGGCCGGGTGAAGTTAGATTGCTAACACGTCCGGGCTATTCGTACAGCATCGATTTCAATAAGGTGAGCATTTTGTACTTCTCATGTTTGTGACCAAAAATATTGTGAACGTATGGAGAACAATTGTATTTAACTATGTAGTTGTGTGGTGATGCTTGGCAATATAGGGGTTAAATTATTTGACATAATTTCACCCTGAAATTTCTTGTTTTACTTCCTTTATGTCCCTTCTAGGAGTGCACCATGTTTGTGGCTGTCTACAGTAATATTCAGAAGTTACCAACATGCCAAGTATTCAGAATATCGCATACAGACTGGACTGTGGAAGGTGTAATGCTCACACCTGTCGGGTACTTATTAGAACCTTCTGGTAAGTGTATAATACTTCCTGTGTTTCTAATATGTAAACCATGCCTTTATTGTCAGTATCAACAGATCTTAATTTCACTTTGTATGTGTAAAAGTAAAAAAGTAAAGCTATCACTGTAACAGGCTATAGAGGCCCATAGGGTTGTGAGACATTATCCAGACAATTGGCTCAAAGATGGTGGTAAGGTTGTCAGTCTTACGTGCCGGCCGCACTTTACTCCCCAGGAAAATTATTTAATTAATTCCTGGTACTCATTTCTGTTAGAGGCTCAGTTGACTCCAGGGCCATAGTGTGGCTGGAAGGATTAGGTCAATTGAAAAAAATCCAGTGACTTCATCGGGACTTGAACCCGCGACCTTCCGGCTTATAGCATAGGTATTAATTCTTAAACCCTTCACATGTTGCAACCTTCCAGTCACTTTGTCAGAGAAACTTTACTCCTGCCATAGTAAAAATAAATTTTCTCTTTCCCAAAAAATGTTACAATTCTATACATTTTAGTGTTATATCATTAATGGAAGTTCTGATATTTGAGACCTTACATCCCACCCAGCCAGTCATCAAATCCCACTCATTGAGAAACACTGCAGTAAGTGGAGTAAAGACAGCCATAGCTTAGATCATTAATCATCTGCTTCCCAAAACGTGGCTCACCCATTTCATCATCTTTCATATGATTGGTGTAATACTATTTGACGAAGAGTACAGTTATGTATGAAGCTCCTCATTCAGTTTTCTCCAGTCTCCTCTCACTTAGGCCCAAATGTTCTCTTCAGCACCCTGTTCTTAGGCACCTTCAGTCTCTTGTTCTTCCCATAGGGTCAGACATATTTCTGCTCTAGTTAAAAGTATGTATAACAAACACACTCAGAGTTGTATATTGTTGTGATGTAAAGTAAAGGTAAAATTATCCCTGGGAAATTAATTAAGGACCATGCCATAAAGACTTGGGGAAGTTGAGGTATAGCGCCAATGTTCTTAACCTCAACACCAGCTGGAGGTAAGTGGTCAGCTTCGGGACCCTGCCACTACCCCCAGGAAAGAGCCCCCAGTACCCATAGTGTACAAGGCTGGGCGGGCCCCAGAGCCAGTCTGGACATTATGGAGATAAGAAAATCTGCCCTTACCAGGAATTGAACCCCAATTCCTCACTTTTCCACTCCATTGCCTAGTCGATATACCAACTCAGCTATCCTGGGTTCCGCTGTAGTAATGTATACAAAAGAAATATGGAGTTAACAGAAGAAATGATACTGTCAGATATTTTCCGTCACTGTTAGAATACCCAAGATCTAGTTGTCCAGAACCCTAAACTGTGCTATCACTGACATGTGCTTTCAGTATCTGTTAAGGCATGTTCTGCAGCAAGAAATGAAAATCACTGTTGATCATGTACTTATTACAGTATTCAATTCATTTTCAGCTCTAGAAGGTGAATTTTATTGTCCAGAACTGTATACTCATCAGATCTCATCAGGGGACCTCCTCTATGCCATGGTGTTCAAGCCTCACTGTTTTCAACCTGGAAAAAAGTACCCAACTGTTCTGAACATATATGGAGGCCCTGAAGTACAGTTGGTATCCAATACTTTTAAGGTTGGCATATTAGCTTCCTTGTTTATTACTCAGTTTTTAAAAAAAAATACTGTAAACCTATAAAATATGCTTAAATTACTTGTTTCAGCATACAGGTTAAATAAAAAATTTGTAGAAACATATGTAAAAATTGCTTATGGTGGTAATATCACATTAGACAGTAGACTCCAGTAGAGTAGTTGCTCTTCTATTTCATGTGATTCTTGTACTACAAGTTTACTGAAATGTAAAGTTGTTCTTATGCATAATTGAGCACCACACCATAAAAACATGGCTGAGTTGAGGTACAGCTCCATGCATTCTTAGCATCAGCACTGGATAGGAGTGAACTTCATACCCTGGCTACTGTACTCCTGGAGAAGGATACCCAGTACACAGTAAAGAGGAAATTGGGTGGGTCCCAGCGTTGGTCTGAATGTTGTGAAGGAGAGAAAAATCCCTTGCCTCTGCCAGGAATGAAACCTCAGTCCCTCAGTTATCCAGTCCATAGCCTAGTTGTTATAATGGTACCACTGAGCTTGTGTTTGCCCAAGAGAAAATGGTAAGAGCAGTAAAGGATGATGCAAAGAGCAGTCTTGAAAATGTACTGGAATTCCTTGAGGTTTAAAATTAGTATTTATTTAGTTACAGTGAAGATTTTGATTTCATTTTTCATAAATACTTTGCCAAAGGAACTCTCATGTTTATTAATGAAATTTTCAGAGCACCAAATCTTGTAATAATATAAATAGTTACATCTTTATACAATAGACCAGCTGATGAATAAGTGCCCCATATAGTGGCAACAATGTTTAGTATGAAGGTATTGTTGTGTACACAAAAGGTCCAAAGTCAGTCCCAGTAACAAGGTGTAGTTGTGACTTTTTACTCAGACTTTTGTAGGAATTACTCTAACAACTTCTGCTTTCAATGATTCTGTTCTAGGGAATGCGTCAGTTACGAATGCACATGTTAGCTGCTCAGGGTTATTGTGTTGTTGCCATTGATTCACGAGGTTCGCAACACCGGGGTTTGCAGTTCGAAAGCCATTTACGAGGGAGAATGGTATGTATAATTAAAGCTTGATATAAGTCTTATGAAGTCTTTATGTTCATATCATACTCGCATTTTATCTAGTTTATTTGGCTGTTTGATGGGTATGGATTAGAATGGCTATTCCAGATTTTGTATTCATTGTCTGAATGAGTTTTTTCTGGAACCAGGACATGTTACTGAGATATTTTACTTTGCATATGAGTTATGTTTAATTTCCTCTGATTGTTTGCTTTGCAGCAGTCCTCATATGAGCTGTCGTAGTCCTTAGGATCCTCATTTTATTTAATCTGTCTGATAATTGCCTTGAAATACCATATTTTCCCAAGTATAAGAGACATTTTTTCCCAGATTCTCTTAAAATATGGGTGTAGCTTACAAGCAGCTCTTATGAAGGAGTGAACAAGATTGAATATGCAACTTCTTATAATGACAGAAGTGAGAAATAGTGCTGAAAGTCAAACTTAAGGTTTTCTCATTCCATTTCAAGCCCAAAACTTTTTTTTAGTGCAGCTTATATTTGGGCAAGTGTAGTATTAGATTGACACTTATCTGGCTAGGATAGTACCTTCCTTCAAACACCATAATCGCTTCCTCCCAGATTGTCTACTAGAGGTAGAATGAGACAGAGTTCTTTGGTTCTGCATCTTCATGTTGACCTTATATACCAAGCCTTTGTTGGCGATGGTGATTGTGACCATAAAGGTGATGATGTATTAGTGGAATAATGATTTTCAGGGATTATTTAAGTACTCTGAGAGAAATCTACCACTGTGCCAATTTGTCTACCACATATCCCACATGGACTGTCTTAGCATGGTACCTGCACCTCCATCATGAGAAGCCCACAGCATTCTGCGTACACTATGACACACCCTTGTCATTCATGACAGTCCAAACCTTGTTGCACAATTAGTGATTCTGCGAATGTGTTACACTCTTGTAAGATTTGAGGTTTTCACAGCGGTGACTATGAGAAAGCAGTCTTCTGGGATGTGGCGCCAAAACATCGGTTAACACAATATCTACACAGCACCGCATCCCAGAAGACTGCTTTGTGTTACACTCATATCTCCCTTTTGTGGCAGGGCACAGTAGAAATTGAAGATCAGATAGAGGTGTTGCAGTGGTTGGCAGAAAGTCTAGGTTTTATAGACATGAGTCGGGTAGCCATTCACGGCTGGTCCTATGGTGGCTACCTAAGTCTCATGGCACTTGCTCAGCATCCTGAAATCTTCAAGGTGAGTGATGTACAAGTACCATACTTAACACCACATTCATATAATATGTATGCTAAAATGGAGACGGTTTGCACCAGTTTGGCTGAACCAATTGCAAAAAAATTAATAGCATAACAAGAAAGAAACAGTCATGCACAAATGTCAGAGAAATTACAAGCTGATTTTACATTCTGGAAAGAATGTTAATAAAAGAAAATTGTGACTGACAATTCAGCATGCAAAACCAAATAGTTAAAATTTTGATAACACTTTCTGGCCATGTCTGTTCACACTTGAATATGCCTTACTGGAAGCGTGAGAAGTCAAAGTGCGGGCAGTAGAGGAAATGTGACTGATATTACCTGTTTCAGATCTCGATAGCTGGAGCACCTGTAACTTCTTGGACACTGTATGATACAGGCTACACAGAGAGGTACATGGACCTCCCTGAGAACAATGAGCAAGGATATCGAACAGGATCTATACTCAGTTATGTCCACCAGTTCCCAGATGAGTGAGTAACAGTCCATTGCTTATGGACATATCAAACATGCACTAAATTTGTGCAGTGAAATAAAATGTACAGATTGTACAAAGCTCTGTAATAATTTTATAATTAGGAAGTTACATAAAAATATTCATGTGTGCTGAATTCTTGTGGTAAAAATAAGCACTAAAATTAAGTAAAGCAGGAAAACAAGTCTGCTAACATATAATGTTTCTGTTATATTTTATTAAATAGAAAGCATTACAAAAAATGTTCCAAATAAAATCTGTTGACCATATTGAGATCTTCTGGGCAGTGCAAAAAAAGTTAAAAAATGGTAAATATGAATGGCTGTGTGGATTTGAATGAAACTCATACAAGTACGTGTATATAAAAAGATCTATTCAGTTCATTCAATCCTTTATGCAGAAAATTATTTTCCATTTTAAATGTTAAAAACGATCATTTTTACATTCATATTACTGATCTTTTGAAAGTGGTGACTGCCACTACAGTTGACTGCAGAATGGGCACCAGATTCTCCAGAATTAAATCCATTACATTAACATATTTGGAAGAAAGTTAAACAGTTAGGGTACAAAATCTGAAGAGAACCATTAAAAGTCCCTGGACTTGGTGTAACAAAGAACTAAAGATGTGTGGTCTCCCACATCAGAAAGTAACATCCAATCAATCATGGACAAAGGGAAAAAGACAGGTTCAAAGCATAATCCATAAAGAACTTGGGCTCTGTTTAACACTGATTCTTATAAGAGTTATGATTGAATTATGAATAAACTGCATTTGAATGGAAAATATTTTTCTGTCTAATAGTTCAGCCAAACTGAATGAATCTTTTATATATGTAATTAGGTATGCTCTACACAACATACATGAACTTGATTCATATGCAAAGAGCCGTTAATTTTTAACATTTTTTATTTGCATCCAGCTGGTAATTTAATACCATGTAAAGGTAAGGTAAAGGTATCCCTGAAACAGGCCGTGAAGGCCCATAGGTTTGTGAGACAGCTCACAGATGGTGGTAAGGTTCTGAGCCTTATGCACCACCCAGGAAGATTTCTGGTACTCATTTCTGTTGGAGGCTGAGTCAACCCCAGAGCCATTGTGCGGCTGGAAGGATTAGATATTGAAAAAATCCACCTCATCGGAATATTTAATACCATGTACAAATTTTTGTATCATACGCCTTCTTGAGAAAGTCTTTATTTAGGCATCATGTCTGGAGTGGTTATATTGGACCAGTAAAAGCCAAAATCTGATTTACTTCACAGATTTTGGTTCAGATTTCCAATACCATCAGTTTCATTGAAATCTAAGTAGTAGTTTCGGAGATCAAATAGAGAGACAGGTATGACCTCACCATTTTGCCTTCATTTCATCAACCTCATGCAGAAATGCATAAGAATCAAATGTGACATATCTGTACTCAGCATGTTCCACTAGTCTACTTCATATTATGGTGAGCCTGGACATTCTGATTCGCATTTCAGTCTCTATATTGATCCAAGGTGATTCAAGTGGTAATGCTTGAGCCTTTCATTTGGGAGGTGCCCCATTTGAATATCAGTGGGGCTTAACTATTCTCACTGAGGTTCTTTGTGATTTTCTTCAATTGCTAGACATTTGTCAAGATGTTCCTTTCTATATCCTCTAAAATTTATCGTCTCCCCATTTGACACTGTATAGTCTGAAATACTGACAGCACCATTACATAAACTGAAAATAAAGAAAATAAATAAAAATTAAAACTTCATGTCAAAAATCAGAGAACTGTCATTTGACAAGTGTATTATGCAAGAAGCAAGAGTCAGGATAGCTCAGTCCATATAGTGATGGGCTACAGACTTGATGGTTGGGGTTCAATTCCTGGCAGGGGCAATGTTTTTCTCTTCTCCAGAGTATCCAGACCTGTTCTGGAGCTCATTAAGCCTCTTTTCTGATGCATATCAGGTCGATTTCCACGGGGGTATAGCGGCCATAGTGTGATGCTGACCACTCACCTCAATTTAGTTCCAAGGTCAAAACGGTGGAGCTATACCTGCACTCCACCATTTGTCTTCATGGTGTGGTGCTTAATGAATTAAGCACAGGGACAACTTTACCTTATTATAAAAGAAGCATGAAATTCCTGTGACCATTTTTCTTTCTTTTTTTCTTTCAGTGAAAATCGTCTTCTGATAATCCATGGACTGATTGATGAGAATGTGCACTTCTTCCATACTAGCCAACTTATTGCTGCTATGATTAAAGCTGGAAAACCATACCAATTACAGGTAAGTCAGATTTAAATACATGTTCATACTGAATTTAATTATCTGCTTCAAGTTTACATGATTCCATCGAAGAAGGCCAGTGTACTAAAGAATGTTAGGTGAGTCTAAGCTCTGTTTGAGAAGATACTAATATACAGGTGTCCCAGGAGGAATGTGCCAATCGGGAGGGTGTTCCTTATGTTAAAGTATGCCGACATAACCCAAACCACCTATGTCCAAAGTTGAACGGTTACGGAGATAATGGCCCAAGAAAAGTGTGAAGGAAACAGATCCAGTTTCCGAAACATGCTTGAAAAAATGCAAGACAAGACACATTTCCAAAATAATTGTCATGCTTGTTGATCAAAATCTTCCAGTCTCGAAAACCGAGATTAACAGCTGTGGGGATCCGTTGTGCTGACCACGTGACACCCTCTATCTTCAAAAGTTGGCACTAACTTTGATGACAAGCAGCAGTTGCTCAGTCGGTATAGTTTGCTTGCGGACTACAGGCCACAGATATTTGATCAAAATCTGAAATATTCAAATTCATGATAGAAAAACATTTCATAACTTTATGAGCTTTTTTCTTTCCAGGTGTACCCAAATGAAAGACACAGCCTGCGTCACTTGGATGCCAGCAAACATTATGAAACAACACTTCTCTCGTTCCTCCAGAACCACTTATAGTGCGGGGACATAGTGTGCTGTTGTTCTGCCTGCCCTCCTTTTAATACTACAACATTGCAATGATAGGTGCAGTAAATATCTACAGTTGTGGTATTTAGAAGCGACAGTCCTCCGACGCGGAGTAGGAGAAGTGTTGGTAGTGGCGGGGAGAGCTCCAGCATGCTGACAAGTGTGGAGGGGAATGCAGTACAGGCGTTCTCAAAAGGAAATAAATTCTTACCTCATTGTGTTGCATAGTGTTGGCAGTTTAGTCTATACACTATTATACACTTTTCACTGTTATATACATGAAGAGTTTATTTACATATTACACAGGTCTATTCTAAAGGGGCAACACCGGCAATGTCCTCATAGATATCATCTCGACATGCCTGTCCTGCCTCATCACTACCAGATGAACTGGAGCTGTCGTCAGAACTGTCATCACTATCACCACCAACATGGAAGACAAACTCCTGTCCTACGTCCAAAAGGCCTTCCCATGCCATTAATTGTTGCCATTGTAGATGATTGGGCGGCCCTCTTCCTATAATCTTTAATTTGCCGCAAATACTGAAGACGTTTGGCTCTGATATTATATCGTTCCACCAGTATCTGCTGATTATTTTTTTTTCTTCCAGCGGAATCCCAGTTTCAAAATAATTTTCTATAATGTGGAGATGCATCCCAGAAAATCTAACGTTTTCTTCAACTTTTCATGAACTTTTTTCAGGGTAGGTCTCTTTTTTTTTCTACTATATCGAAGTCATTAATTGTTCTTCGCACCACAGACTCGTTAAAGTCGTTCAAAGTGGCTAGTGGAGATTTCCTAGGTCTTTCTTTATGGGGTGTTGAAAAGGAAGTGGAAGCCCCAGATTCGATATTTTTTTTCCTCTTATTCTTCTGACACTACTGTCCAATACACCTGTTGCCTTTGCTATTTTCACTCCTATGTTCTTCACTGTAATTGTTGTCCCAGCCTCTTTCATATACTTATATACATTACTAACAATTTCTCTTGATCGTGAATGCAACATTTTTCCACTCAATTTATTTCGTGTATGTGGCATGTTAAAGGAGATAGAAAAAATGTACAAATATAAATAAACAAAAAAGAAAATCAACGAATAAAAATAAACAATAAAATAAAATATTAATACAGTAAATATAGAATAATAAACTCAAATACGACTCCAAGAGTCAGAACTTTTTAACTTGACTGCACAAGGAAGAATTGTTTTAACTGAACTTGAGACGTCTGCTCGCACTGAAGACAGACGAATGACCAATCACAACACCCCTCAACTTTCACGAATGGACCTGCACATCCACTGCGCAGCTTTTCCTGAACTGTCGCTTCTAAATACTACAACTATAACCCCACATCCCTTCTATTGCAGTGTTGTGTAGCCATATTTATGTTTCCTTTGTTAAGGAAAGTATTACAATTTACGTAATGGTTATCAGAGCAACCATTAATGCAGTTTTGTGAATAAGTGCAATCGTAGAGTTTTCAAATAGACTTGTTTTAAATGAATCGACCGTTTATATTAGAAATTGTGTTATAAGTCTTATGCTAGTGATCGACTGAACTGAGAGACCCAAACATAAAGCTTAATTGAAATATTTAAAAACGTTGCCATTTGTTTTGTCTCTCCGATTTTACTTTGTACAGTTCATCACATACGTACAATAATGTTACTAACTTAGCGTGAATGTTGAGATCAGTGTTGTAAACATTAGATACATGAAATAGGATGAGCGTATGAGCATAGTCTTTTTTTTAATTTAATGTCTGACCATGCAATTGTAAAGTCACAATATTTGTGATTTTCTTTGTTGAGAGTAATTTTATATTACATTCATCTAATTGTTTTACTATTCTTCTTTGAGAACAAAGAGCTTCATTATTCTAATTTTTCATCTTTTTCTCTATTACAATTAATATTTTAAAAATGAACTTAAATTGAAACATGTAAAATAGATGATGTAGCAAAGTTTACTCATCACAATGGGAAAACACCTGAGAAATGAACATCAGCTGTTTAATTCATGGAGTGAACTCATTCAGTGACATGATTCTGCTGACATTAACCTAACCTACATCTTCACAAAGCTGCTTACACCTTCATATTCAAGAAACCCCAGGTTCAAATCTCTCTCCAGAGACATATTTTTCCTCAGTCCCTCCAGGTAAATGCCAAGATAATGCCTTAGATCAGGCCATGACTACTTCCATGTCCTTTCAAGTCATTATTCACTAATCTTTAGAGTATAAGCTATTGGAAGGATCATTAAATAAGCCACAAACACATGCCTACTACTGTCTGTATCCAGGTATAGATATAGTGAGACCCTTCCTGACAGTGAATTATTTCTAAATCAATCCTCTCATTTCTCCTATTTTGGGTTATAGATTATAAATTTTCCAAACCTGTAACTGCATTGATGAGAAACATAGTTTTTTGTAAATACAAAATTCTGTAACAATAAACAGAAGTACACACAACATGCAGGTAGCCCAGGATGACAGTAAGTTTTCTTCTTTCTTCTTGCTGGTTGCTCACTTGACCTCTTCTTTGACCCTGAATCTGGAGGAAATACATTCTTCCATAATGTCAGTATGATCTGTGTCCAATCTTTTCCTTCCTTTCCTCAATATCATCATTGCTGTTTTATCCTTGCTAATCACAAAATAATTGTTCACCCATTGATTGATGTTATTAGAGTCATTTTGAACATCTTCTCTGTGCTCTGATACAACAGTCATATTGTCACATATGAGGGGTTAGCATGACTAATAACAATGGGTTCTGGATTTGATGATTGGGTTTATTGGCACTTCTTACAATTACAGTTGATTATAAGAGCTCACGCATTAAACTCCTGAATGACGTCTGTCTGATGAATCTCTCGCTGCTCTCTGAATCTTGGACTGATCTCTAATCTCTCAAATTCACGAAATGCACTTGCCTTTTATAACTGCCTTGTGACCCTAATAGAGATCATGGCCCCCCAAGGGTTCCATTACTGTGTTTTATGAATGTGTTGTCTCATAAACCATGTAGTAATTTGGGGCAATGCTTTGATTCCTCCAAGCATGTTCATTGCTGTGAAACATGCTTTAACAATCCGTTGTCTAGCAATGGGTTATTTTGCCACAATATCTTCTGTATATGTGTACAATTCTGTTGGTCTATATTCTCCCTGCATCACTAGTATGACATCCATGGTTGCAATAATGAGCAGAAATGGACTGGTCCGGTCGTCTTTGGAGAATTTTGTTGGTGTGACATATCGTGGGATATCCTGACATTCCATCTGTCTATCTTGGTGCTATCAGATAGTAAAGAAAAAAAGTAAAGGTATTCCTGTAACAGGCTGTGGAAGCCCATAGGGTTGTGAGATGTTGAGGTTGCCACATTTTCTAGAGAATCAGCTCACAGATGTGGTGGTAAGGTTAACAACCTTACGCACTGGCCACCATTTGCCCACAAGAATATTCCTGATACTCCTGTTAGAGGCTGAGTTATCCCCAGGGCCATAGTGTGGCTGGAGGATTAGGTAAATTGAAAAATCCACCTCATCGGGATTCGATTCCACAACCTTCCGGCTTGTAGGATAGTGCCTCAACCATGCTACTGTGTACCCCTGATGCTTTCAGATAATGTAATTTAAATATCCTCCAGAACAAAAGAGTAACTGAACATAACATCACATGAATTAACATCTTTTTTAATCTGGTATCTCTGTTTCTTATATTTGGTTGAACTTGTTTAAAAAATTTAAGTGTTGAGCAGAATGAATGACACACTTCTGTAACATCATTAAATCTGACGTTCTTTCTACGGAAAGTACTACCCTCTGGGTGGTCTGGTATAAGTTTACTGATGCTCTGGAGGAAAGTACTGTCTCCATTTTCAGGGTAAAAGAGTAAGCAGAGCAAGCCTCCTTCCTCTGAAACAGTGGTACACTTCTACCAGATTACACATCATCACATCACAGAATACAGTAGCATCTTTAAGATGGGAATGTTACGAAAATAACATTGAGAAGGTGTGTATCCTTGATATCTGGGCAGGTCAGCAATATGATGGAACATGTAGGGCAGTGTTTCCATACTTGGTTCTCACTCCATGAATCATGTAACATGTTCTTAAAATATAATTTTACACTTTGATATTGTACAAATTAATTTCAAAGGTTACATAAGAACTGTAACATATAATACATATGAAATGTAATTTCAGACAGCTGTTAAAAATTGTTATTGTCCTGATGGATAAATCTGCACTGTAGAAAGCACAGCAACTATTTGAGAAGAACCAATAAGGCAGGTAATATATATATGACAAAAGAGAGAAAACAATAAGCATGTATCCATAAAACGATTAAGACTATTAAAATTTCTTGACATTGTAGTATGAGGAACATTATAAACGGTATACTCTGTATTGATATGTGCAGACCTGCATAAATTTCCCATATATCTAGGAGCCACCTCCAATATAAGAGCCAGAATAAAAAACAACATGTCAAGTGAGATATTTCTTCATTTTCACTATCAAAGGGACAATTGAAACATAAATAAGAGCCTGTTCATTTCATGCTTAGGGAAAACCCAACACATCACAGTTGGATTACTGGAAACCATAAACTTTCTTCTGCCATTGCTAGGATATCAGGAAAATATAAACCAGCTTTAACACTGTTATGAAATCAAGTGAGGAATGATAATAGGATGTACAAATAAAAGGGATGTGAAAAGAATGTAGTAGAAAGGAGGGAAGGGGATAAAGATACAAAAGGCACAGAACATGGTGAGGAATGATTGCAAATAGAAGGGATGGTATGGAAAAGCAGTAAGGGAGAAAAGAGGGAATAAGATTCAAATGAATAAAGGAAAAGACGAAAAAAATAATCCTCTTCTCCAAAGGGTCACAGAATTTATGCAGGCCTGACCACGCCTAGTTTTATACCTCATTCAGTGTCACCACTGGAGAAGGAATGCCACTGAGTTGTTTAACAACTGCATGACCTCAAATTGGCATTTTTCTAGACAAATGTAAAAACGAATTACATAATCTTAATACTAACATAAGTTTCTTACCTTATTTGACCTCCATGCCCCAGTAAGAAACCTTGATTAGATCATACACCAGAAACATTATATGATGAAACTGCATTCAAGGTTTCTTTGGAAAACAGTAGATTTTGACACTAAACTGA